AGTGAGAGCCATCCTTGATTTCTGCTTGAATCCAAGGCTACAGGAGAAGCAAGACCTTCCAGGGGGTTGATGCTGTGAACTCCTCCATCATATGCTCAGGTCTAAATAATCCATATATCATAAAGACACTGTCCCACATTCCAAGGGAACAAAACCCCAGGTAAGCGGCTGGAACCTTGCACCGCTCGTGGATTGGGGTGTGCTGTACAACAGTATAATCAGTAAATCAGCTCCCTTGACTTGCATGCAACTTTACAAAAACTCAACGCCCACCTCCCTCTGTCTACATGATAGCTTTGGGTTTGTTTTGTTTTTTGCATGCTAAAAAGCACAGGCCTCCCGCAGTCAAGCCTACCTGGGCTTTGATTCTGCATCCAGACTTCCCTTTCGCCTGGCCTTTGGCTTATTATGCTCCTTTGCACCTGCGACTCCTTTTTGTCCAGGTACGGCAACCCTGCTTTCCATCTGCTCTGCTCAATTCAGGCTCTTATCAGCAGCTTCGCCGTGTGATCTTGGCATCAGGTGTGGCCCAGGGTCACTCTCTGAAATTATCCCTGCCTAGTACCTACCTGTCCAGATCCTGGGTCTGATTTCACAATTGTCCTTGGCCGCCACATGCCCCCGTTTTTCCCCCTTCCAGGGCAGGTGTTTTGCTTAACCCTTTCTGCACTGGCTGTGATGCATCTTTCACATGAAGGCAGGTTAGCAAAACCTTTGAGTCTGGTTTTCGCTGGTTTTCCTTTCACACACTTTCCTGCCATTTTTAAAAATAAAAATGTCTCTGCTGAACATTTTCCAAGACAATAATTTCCACTCCACATTATAAAGAGCTTACGACCTACCGCATTTTATGCTCTATAAGACTCACTTTTTCCCTCCTAAAAAGTAAGGGGAAATGTGTGTGCGTCTTATGGAGCGAATGCAGGCTGCGCAGCTATCCCAGAAGCCAGAACAGCAAAAGGGATTGCTGCTTTCGCTGCACAGCGATCCCTCTTGTTGTTCTGGCTTCTGAGATTCAGAATATTTTTTCCCTTGTTTTCCTCCTCCAAAAACTATGTGCGTCTTATGGTCTGGTGAGTCTTATGGAGCGAAAAATACGGTACCTACTTTCAGCAGCCAGAAGTGTCATAGCCAGACACAGGACGGACCTGTCAGGAGTAAAGATCAGGACCACTGGTACCAAATCGTATGGGAAACAGCCTTACTAGAAAAGCTAACCAACAAGGAAATATAATAAACGAATAGAAAGAGAACCTACCTAAGTGAAGCTGACATAAAACCCCCACAAATACATTAAGTATTACCACCCTCCCCTCTTCTTCTTCTTCCCCAATTTTATACTGTATACAACACTAAGGTCTCACTTCAAATGTGAAAATGATTCTACAACCTGAAAAAAGAGACAAGGCATGTACTTTTGTAAATCAAGAAAATCTTTAATATATATATATTTTAAAATGCATCTATATGTTTATTTGTGGTATTTATAAGCTGCCCAATAACTCAAGTTTCTGGGACAGCTTACAGTAAAAGTTAAAAACAGTTGCATGCGTCCATAAAGCAATGAAATCCAAACCAGAGTAAAGCCAGGAACGGAAGTTAATTACCATAAAACAAAGCTCACGGCAGCACCTAAGATTCTCAGGTCTAAAAACACAGAAATAGCGAAAGGGCATAGATACTAAAAATTATTAAAGTGGCAGGAACGGGACAGCATGAGAAAATTCAAAAAGCTTTCCCACCCTTGTCGCTGAAAAGACTACACTGCAGATAGATACTAGTCAAGGCTCATCGAGAAGCACCTCTCATTTGCTGGGGGCACTATTATTATTATTATTATTATTATTATTATTATTATTATTATTACAATTGCAGTTAATTCACTAATTGCCTTCTAAACCACCGTCTCAAGGTGATTTACATTTTGAGAAGGGCCTCAAAATCTCTCAGAGTGGTAGCAGGTGCTGGATGGTTAAGGTAGATAAGCAAAAGGGACCCAGTGAATGTGAGTCCAATTTAAATATTTTTAAATTTAAAAAATACCAGATTTCACTTTGGGGCATTAGTCCCATGGAACTCAGCACGGATTACTTACTAGTAAACATGCATAGGGAATAGTTTGCATGAAACCCAGAAGAACAGTAGTTGGGACACGACCAGCGATGGGGCATATGAACCACAAAAGAAATCGTGTTGTTTTCAAGTACAAATCAGGTGGCGCTATGAAGGTTTATGCGGTGAGCAGCTTTGGAAGTCATGGTGATGGTGCATAGAGTTGCATTTCTTGTTTCTGCTCTTCTCCATTTGATCCAAAATAGACCTTCAATCTTCACCCTAGATATAAAGACATCCACTAGAGGTGAGAAGAAGTACAGAAAGGGAAGACAAGCCTTCCTGCATCTCTGTTCCTGTAGCAGAAGTACACTCTTACAGCCTGGTGCTTTTCTTACTGTTATGTACTAAGCTTGGATCCTAGAACAATAGGCAGGTAGGATCCTAGAATGCAACAACTGATTGGCTTGCAGGAGAAGACCAATCAGGCTCCAGGAGGAAGTTAATCAGCCTATTAGGCAGGTAGGATCCTAGAATGCAACAACTGATTGGCTTGCAGGAGAAGACCAATCAGGCTCCAGGAGGAAGTTAATCAGCCTATTAGGCAGGTAGGATCCTAGAATGCAACAACTGATTGGCTTGCAGGAGAAGACCAATCAGGCTCCAGGAGGAAGTTAATCAGCCTATTAGGCTGGTAGGATCGTAGAATGCAACAACTGATTGGCTGATTCTGCTTCCCTGGAGCCTTAATGCTCTTCTCCTACAGGCCAATCAGTTGTTGCATTCTAAGATCCTACCTGCCTATTGTTCTAGGATCCAAGCTTAGTACATAACACTTACTATTATGTACTGAGCTGAATCCTAGAACAATAGGATCCAGAATGCAGCAGTCTGATTGGTCCGCAGGAGCTACCCAATGCAGCGCCAGGTGGAAGTGAATCAGCGACCTGATTGGCCTGCAGGAACAGCCCAGAATTAGCCAATCATGCGGGGCCCATTGTGTAAATAATGTATATATAGCTAGACGTTTTGAGGAAAGTTTCATTCATTGCTACTATGAGCTGAATAAAGAGCATGAAATTCACACTCGACTCTTGAGTATATTTCACTTACCTTAGTGCAGGTGAGCCTGGGGCTTTCCAGGTGTTGTTGGCCTCCTGTCAGCCCCAGCCAGTGACCCTCCAATGTTGTTGGACTACAATTCCCACCATCCCCAGCCAGCCGGGCCAATGGTCAGGAATGATGGGAGCCAGGTCTCTGCTATGGGGGCTGTAGCAATACTACCTTTCCCCACAATGTAGATAATATGAGAGGCACATAGCTATGCTCAGTGACCCTAGAGTTTTCCTTTTCCTCAGTTTTCCAAGGCTCTGCTCATGTGGTTCCAGATTTCCTATGCTGGAGACCGGTGCTCCCCACCCCACCCCTACAAAAAATAGGTGGCGGAACTCACCATGAAGTTGTTAAAGTAAGTCACCAGGTGACTCGGAGCAGCCCTGAACAGGCGCCAGTTTGGCAACAGCCATGTTCACCACCTGTGGAGGTGCTGAAAACTATGGCAAGCTGTCTCCCTAGCTGGTTTGGGGGTCACCCCAGGTCTCGTGCAGGTCAAATAAATATACCCCCACCTCCCTCGTTCTCTTAGATTCAGGCAAATGGCCAGGGCAGCTCAGAAAGGCCACTGTGCAAACACCCAAGTGCACTGGCAGACAAAGGTGGGGGCGGGGGGGTGTGGTCTGACCCGGGTGCCATCCCAGGGGGGTGATGTCGCGACCGCCCTCCAGGATGCTCGCCACGCACCCTCATGACACTTGCCACTTGCCGTGCAAGCCACACACCCCACGGGTGGCGCGCCACACCCCCTGGATCGTGCACTAGCCATGCCCCCGCATGTACGCCGCTCCCGGTGCTGGAGCGTGTAGCTCCGCCACTGCCCGTGTGTGCTGGCAAGCTTAAAGCCTGTCAGCAGTACACTGGAGATGAATCGAAGAAAAGCAAGTACAAACTGCCCACCCTACCCCGTAGCTTGACCAACTGCAGCTAGGAGAGGCTAGGAGCTAGATCTTCAAATAGTGTAGACTCGCACATGCTAGCCAGCTTCTGTTTTGACTTGAAATGTTTGTTTTGGGCTTCTCAGAAGTACGTGAAGGCAAGAAGCAGCTAGGGGGAGTGTTGGCCTGCAATGGCTTCCCACCTGAGAGGTGCCAGAACCACACTCAGGCTGAAGAAAAGCACTGCTGGAGGACCAGGCTACGCTGGCAACCCTTTGTGTATTTACATTGGATGCATGTATCTTTATCTTCCTGCTCTTCTCCACTGCAGAAAGAGTTAAGTGGAACTTGGTACTGCAGGGTTATCTGGAACTCTTGTTTACAGGCAATAAACATTCTACCCTTTCCTGGCTGATATATATAAAAAAGGGTCAATACAGATGTGGAGAGCTATGTATAAAATAGCCTTTTAAGTCTTCTCCAATCCATAGTGTTTCATTGACAAGGAGAAAACATCAAAGGCTGAACTGATGCCAGATCCCAACATTTCCATCCATGCAGTCGCCAAACTCACCAGAAATTCAAATTTTCAGTGGGGGGACGGGACCCATTAGCTCTTTATGCTTTAAATAGGCTGACAGTGGGAATAGTGATGGTAGCTGGGCTTGTGTGGCACAATGAATGGAAAATGTAATAAAATATAAATAAAGCCAGACGTTAAAGTGTGAGGGCATGTTGCAAATTTGTTATTTAAAAGCAGGAATGGCTGACCTGTGGCCTTTCAGATGTGGTTGGCGTGCAGTTGCCTTCAGGTACATTGGCCAGCATGCCCAATGGTCAAGGATGATGGCAGTTGAGTCCAGCAACATCCGGGAAGGTACTCCTGGCTGTTATAGATAGGGTTGGCATCTCCAGCCATACTCAAAGGTGGCCTTTGAAAGAAACTGACTGGGGACAGCTGGGATAGCTGAGTTGGTAAAGCATGCGACTCTTAATCTCAGGGTTTGAGCCCCACATTGGGCAAAGGTATTCCTGCATTGCAGGGGGTTGGACTAGATGACCCTCATGGTCCCGCCCAGCTCTGCAATTCTGCAGTTCTATTACCTAAGCACTCCTTATGTGTTATATCACACAACTAGCAAAGAGGCAAGCTGCTGCAAAGATTCACTTCTAATCCACAGAACTGGTTCATCTGTATATATTTCAGCGCTTGATACCGTAGCATCAGACAATGATGGGGCAAGTGTGAATGGGTCATCAGACTGAAACAGCTTTCAGTGGGGCTCGTTCACACTTTCAGCTGCAAGGCATGAAGGGCCTGTTCATACAATGTGCATGTATATTATTGATTTATCCAAAGGACCCCTAGACGGATAAGTCCTGTCAAAGGCGACTATGGGGTTGCAGCGCTCATCTCACTTTCAGGCCGAGGGAGCCAGTGTTTGTCCATAGACAAGCTTCCTGGGTCATGTGGCCAGCATGACTAAACCGCTTCTGGCACAACAGGACACCGTGATGGAAGACAAAGAGCATGGAAACGCCATTTACCTTCCCACCACAGCGGCACCTATTTATCTACTTGCACTTCGGGCTTTCAAACTGCTAGGTTGGCAGGAGCTGGGACTGAACAATGGGAGCTCACCCCGTCGCGGGGATTCAAACCGCCAACCTTTCGATTGGCAAGCCCAGGCGGCACAGTGGTTTAACCCACAGCACCACCCGTGTCCCTCTTGATTTATCTACCCTTTATTATGATGTGGCTGGCACCTGAAAGTGGGAACTGGCTCCCTTAGAAAGCAACGTGCTCGAAGTGTTGTTCACAGCAGCAATGGTGTATTTTCATGTGCAAGTTATCACTTGATAGCACAGTCATCAAGTAATATATATGCACGTGTGAATCAGATCTGTGCCAGTGAGCTCAGAACTGGGGGAAGGTAGTTATTATGGATGAATTAAAGCTGGATGCAAACAATAGTTATTTTCAAGAGTGGCTTGAGAGAGACTTTGCATTCAATAGGATGCACACATATTTTATAATGTGTGTGACTTCTTGAAATGATATCAAACCTGGCAAAATTATTTTCCAGAGCTAAAGGAAGTATGCACAGCAACCCCACCTTCAAACTGCCCTCAGATCTCATGGGGTTGCTTACGGTTGTGTCTTTTCATTCCATGCTTAGCGGTTATTTTGGGGTAACTGTCTTTCTGTCTCCAGGCCTGTTGCTCAGGCGCTGCCTTCGTGAACTGGGTTCATCAGCCCAAAGAAAGCGAAAGAAGGATGAAAGAAGGAATGTTGAAGAGTCAAGAGCATACTTCAAGTCAGCCCTTGGCTCTGATCAAATGGCTAGCATTTATGAGCAAGATAATCCGGTTTCTCATTGATCTTGGCAGTGCTGGCAGGGGGCTGTATTTACATTTGGACGGATGGCCCCTGGACATATTTTTCTCCACAGTATTAAACACAAAGAGGCTTGCTATTAGCACCAGGAAAGCTGGTGCTTTTAAATTCATCTCTTCATTACAAATGCATTTCTTTGAAAGCCTAACCTTCTTTGTTCCAATACCTTATTTTTATCTCAGTAAAGTTGCACTGAAGTTTGCAGAACCACAGGGCTCCATGCAGCTAACAGGTCCCACTAGAAGGAGCTTGCACAAGGACTTCTGCTTGTGCAATGGAGCTGTCTTTCCTCTTCTCCCCACATGCCCCTGGCGCCCCCAAATTGGCTCTGGGGCAGTCAAGACAACCCCCAGAAAAGTGCGTGGGTGGGGGAAGAGGAGGAATGCTTGCACCAGGCAAGCAGAAACACATGCGCTGATTGAGTGATCTCCTTAGCCCTATGTTGAATTGATTCTGCCCTTTTTGTCTGTAAGTTTATAACCTTCACATCTGTATTTTGGTTTGGTGGTTGTTGTTGTTTTTTTTTGCAGATTTCCAATCTTTGCCATTGTATCCTGCTGCTCTTATCTGTAAAGGCCGAATTATAAAATACCTGTAGCTCGAAAGACATCAGGTAAGTCACCATGATGACCGGCATCTGTTTTTAGACAGCAACTCCTAACTCTTGTGCAACTAGTCAGAACATTTCAATGAGCTGCGCTCTGGCTTGATGAAACTTGAGAACAAATCTTTATCCAGGTGAAATTAAACTCCATAAATGGCTGCATATGGCCAGGAGTGGGCAGAAGGTACATCATAGGCTATATCAACTACTATTTGACGTGTTGTTTCTCAAACAAGCTTCATACCAATAGTAATTTATAGGCTCAGATTATATTTGATGCTAACGTTCCCCTGTCCTACTCCTAACTATCCGTTTCATGAAGCTACACTATAGATCCTTCAAGACCACTGCTAGTTGCTCCTCCTCACAGTGGCTCTCTTAAGATACCAGGCAGAATTGGGTGCTCCCACCCTGCCCATTCCCCCCAGCCCTGCTCCCTGAGATCATTTATTTGGAGCTGCTAGGATTTGAACTTGGGTGAATCTAATCTAGAAGACACAATACAAAGGGAAAAATAGATTGGGAGGGATGAGGAGGGATTCAAGATGCATAAACACACAGTCATTCAACTTTTAGAGAATGCGGGGAGGGAATTACTGGGGAATAAGTAGGATATACATGATTATTATTTGGGGGGGGTGCGGAGCAGGGATCCACACTAACAAAATTTTAACAAGTGATGGCAGCTGAAAAGCAGTGGTGATCTACCAGGAAAAGGTAAACAGAAACTGTTTGAGCATTCTATGATCACATAAGAATCTAAACACAGTAGTTTAATGCAACTTCCTACACAGAATAGTTTTCCGTGTAGGAAATGGATGAGAAGCAGCTGTTTATTAGTCCCATGCAAAAATAATAATCTTGAACAACTAGGATAAATTTGCCCCTGTACTTCTATAGAATCCCCGCCCACCCCATTATTTATTTCTGTTTTAAATTAGTATGAAACAGAACTGAGAAGAGATGGAGAGAGAAAGAAAGATTTGCTCTAGCAATCTGTGGTTTTGATCTAGGGACACAGGTGTCTCTTCCTTGTGCCCTTTTGTGAAACACCAACCCCCTCGGGACAAGTGATAGAACATAGAGATGGCTACGATTCAATAAAGTCGCAATAAAACATCCAGGGCCTTTGATACTCTTTCACTTTCTTTAACTCAATTTATTTTTCATTTCACGGACAGAGATTTAGTCCTGGTATTAGTTTGTGATTTTGCTGAAAGAATTACTCAGCCCATACGAAAGGGAAATATTATCGTTACTCTCTCTCTCTTTTATTTTATTTTATTCTTTGCCCCGCATTATGCCATCGGAGGCTCAAACCGAGCCGACGGAAAACAAAAGAGGAGAGCCGAAATCACTTCACCACTGCTGCGTTTTTCATTACAGAAGTTATTACATATAGAAATTACTCCAAATTATCTGAAATGAATGGAAATTATGAGGTTTAAATTCCCCAAGTTGTTGCAAGCGCAGCGCTGGAAATTTATTTTGTCATCTTGCCGAACATAATTGCTGCAACAAAATTCTCTCCCATTTTACAACTGCAGCATAACTTATTTATACCAGTGTTGTTGTAATTCGACATCAATAAGTTGCATGGGAAGACATGCACAGGTGGTAATTGAAAACAATAATTTGTAGCGGGGTCCAGGTGGAATGGTTGGCTGGCTCAGAAAAGGCTTTTGCATCAGTGTGGCCTCTCCCCCCCCTTTCTTTTCCCCACCGCAGCATAAGCATCCCCCTGGTCCAGCAGGCTCTGAGGTTGCCTAATCATCCTAAATTACATTTCAAAGTGTCAGCTGAGGTGAGCCGAACAGCTGATCTATAATTATGGCCTTGACCCACAGATCACAAGCAGGAAGCACAGGCAAGGCATCTGGGGAATCTCTCTTGCTCTCTCTCTCTTTTAAACAGGCCAAGGGAAAGGGGAGGAAAGCCCTCAGCCTCACTGAGAAAACGGTGATTCAACGTGGCTAGCCACAGCTTTAAGGCGGCAAACTTTGTCGCCAAGGTTTCTGGTATGGAAAGTTGTTGACATTTTGCGGCAGAAGAAGGTGCAACTGGCATGTTTGTAATGGATCTTTTGCGTCCCCTCCAACATTTCTCCGATGAAAACAGGGACATCCTACCTATTATTATTATTATTATTATTATTATTATTATTATTATTTTCCTTTCTTGGGCTCCATGATCACTGCAGATGGTGACAGCAGTCACAAAATTTTCTTGGGAGAAAAGCAATGACAAACCTAGACAGCATCTTAAAAAGTAGAGATATCACCTTGCCAACAAAGGTCTGTATAGTTAAAGCTATGGTTTTCCCAGTAGTGATGTATGGAAGTGAGAGCTGGACCATAAAGAAGGCTGATCGCTGAAGAATTTATGGTGCTGGAGGAGACTCTTGAGAGTCCCATGGACTGCAAGAAGATCAAACCGATCCATTCTGAAGGAAATCAGCCCTGAGTACTCACCGGAAGGACAAATCCTGAAGCTGAGGCTCCAGTACTTTGGCCACCTCATGAGAAGAGAAGGCTCCCTGGAAAAGACCCTGATGTTGGGAAAGATGGAGGGCACAAGGAGAAGGGGACGACAGAGGACGAGATGGTTGGACAGTGTTCTCGAAGCTACCAGCATGAGTTTGACCAAACTGCGGGAGGCAGTGGAGGACAGGAGTGCCTGGCGTGTTCTGGTCCATGGGGTCACGAAGAGTCGGACACGACTAAACGACTAAACAACAACAATTATTATTATTATACCATGCCCATCTGACTGGGTTGCCTCAGTCACTCTGGGCAGCTTCCAACATTTAAAAAAACATAGCAAAACATTGAACATTAAAAAATTTCCGTATACAGTCAAACCTTGGTTCCCAAACGCCTGCGTTATCGTACGTTTTGGCTCCCAAACGCCAAAAACCTGGAAATAAATGCTCTGGTTTTTTAACGTTTTTCAGAACCCAAGCATCCGATGGAGCTTCCGCTTGAGTGCAAGATGTTCTTGCAACCAATTGGAAGCTGCACC